TCTGAGAGCATTTCTAGGGTCTGCCGAGTGGCTAGAAATGTTCTCCTGTTCATTCTGCATCTAACCATGTATGTGTCGATGGAATTCAAGCAGGGGCCGATTCCATCAAATAATGGCCCCCGTCCTTTATATAAAATGTGTTGGGCTTGCTGGGCTTGGCATATTCTCAGTGAAAATACACGAGAATATAGTACACTATACGCGACACTATAGTATTTATTGTCACTGAGAATACACCAAACGCAGGAAATAGTCTCTTTTTGAGAATACACTGCGTACTGACATTCTGACATCTCTTCATACTCTGACACGATTTTGTTTCGATCCACTATTAATTAGTAATAGATCAAAGAACAGGACAAAAGAAAAAAGATAAAACATAAAAAATAATTAGATTAGTTTATATACCAGATCTAGTTTTCTTACATTACAATTTTGTCTGATGAAGACGTCATAGCAGTCGAAACTGTTACAAATAATTTAATAAATTATAAATAAATCATAGAAAGAGTAAAAAATATAAACTTAAAATGGCACGTCTGGACAGGTGTCAGAAACGAAAAGTGATATCCTTTAATGTTACCTATTAGCAGTTGCGAACAGGTAATCCTGCAGGATCACTCGGAGGCTACTTTTTCTAGACCGTGCACTTCCCGATGACTGTCGTAACTATGTTTGGCAAGAAAAGTGTGAGTATTTATAGGAAAAAGCATTTTAGAGTAAAGATGATTCATCATTTTGCGCGCCTAGACGCTTTTCGGGATATAAATTTTGATTTCAGATTCGACTGAATGCGCTTCTCTGTAATCCAAAATCGAAATGGAAATTCTATGCAAACACGTCTGAATATATCTGAGTCACGTCTAAACCAGATCTAGGTTTCGTTTCTCGAGTGGGCAGCTGAAACTTTCGGAGGGGTTTTTGGCTAAAAAAATTTTTGCTAAAACGAAATCAACTGTTTATTTTCGGCCCACCTACTGGATAAATCACTGATCTAAAGGCAAATAGAACCATGTTTGTTTGTCAAATAGTATAAAATGAGCTTGTCTAGCATGAAAGATAATTGTCTTATATTTCAAGGATGCAAGCCAATATAGTGCTGCCTGGGCCTATACTATTTCATTAATTCATCATAATGAGTATGTTTGAGTTCAATGTTTATTTTATAGTTTTTCACCACTTTTTTTATGAAATAATCGCTCGGAATAGTTGACGAAACCATCTTGTTACAGGCATGAAAAGAGAGGAACTCATTACTATGTAAGTTATATAACGGCTAGGTTTTCCTTTTTTTTAAAACTGTAAATGAAAAAATGTATATGACACTATATCTCTACATTTAGAACGGAAAGAAAGTAATTCTTTAACTTTTCAAAAGAAAAATAATAATATGGCCTTATCTTTATCAGATAAATGTAAATTTCATATGAAAATAGTGCATGTAGAAACATCCGGCATTCAATTAAAAGACAAATGAAATCAAAGTTACAGACATCATCTGAAAGAAAACAAAAAAAGGAACAAAATGAGAAATGATCACGGAAATAATATGCTTTTGATCCTAGTTGACAAAATTTTAAAAAAATCTCATATAAAAGATCTTGGTTAAATAAATAAATTAAGTTAAATAAAAAATAAAGTTTTTTATGCCAGAATCAAGGAAAAAAGCATGTAAAAGATATCGGTTTGTTCATATGGTCGAAAAACATGATTTAATTCTATCGTACAAGGAAGTAGTGATCGAGTGATGGCGCTTGAACAGATGTTACTATCAACAAATAATGGGCTAGAGAGTAGAGATCTGCATGGGCAAGATTTTTCTGTCCACACCCGTAGACCTTCTTGGGTGTCCGTGGAGTTTTTCTAGCCGTGCCCGTGAGAAAAAAGTGTTTTTTTCTGATATCTCACAGGTTTTTATTCTCTATAGGAAGAAAAATTTCTTGTCCACGCCTCTATATTACGTTGTTCTTTTCTATGGCTTGTCTCTCACTATCTGTATTTCATTAGCAAACAATATCTGTTTTGTTGCGCAAAAAAATCTTCAAAAATCCTCAAAAAAAAGCCCGCTGAAAAGAGCGATTGCCCGTCCGTGGCTTTTTAGAGTCTAACCGTGCAGATCTCTACTAGAGACCCCAATTTCTCATTAAGTAGACGAAACTAAACATTCACTGGAAAACTAATGTAAATTAGATGGAAAGCGAAGACAATTTCTGTGCTCAGTAGTGTTCTGAGATTTAAATCATGCTTTCTTAACCTAGCTTACGTTAGTTAGATTCTTTTCCTTGATTTAATTTTTCAGTACAAAGAATTTATTGTTCTTAACTTAGATCTTTTACCCTCTTTTTCTTAAAATTTTGTTAACCAGAATTGACAGAAAAGAATTTCTTTATTCCAATAAAGAAATTCGTCCACATGCATTACTTGATCTCGAGAAAGTAAACAAGCTCACATTTTCGCCTATTCTGAACAAAGCATTTGAACCATACACGCACTCAAACGCGACATTTTCCAGAAGAGAAAAGACGCCTCGTCCAGAGACACTTCTCAAACATCTCCAGCTTTCTAATGTTTAGCGTCTGGACGTGTCTATTTTTGAGAAAGTTAATCCTTTCTTTCATACGCGCCCGGACAATTCTCATTTTTAGCTGGAGTAAGAACGCGATAAAAAACACATGAGTGCGATTTATATATCGATCATGAAAAATGCTTCCGAATAGGTGTCAGAAACGAAAAGTGATATCCTTTAATGTTAACTATTAGCAGTAGAGAACAGGTAATCCTGTAGGATCACCCAGAGGTTACTTTTTGCAGGCCGTGCACTTCCCGATGACTGTCGTAACTATGTTTGGCAAGAAAAGTGTGAGTATTTATAGCAAAAGCTTTGCCAAAATTTTGTAGAGATGACTCATCATTTTGCGTGCCTAGACGCTTTTCGGGATATAAATTTTGATTTCAGATTCGACTGAATGCGCTTCTCTGTAATCCAAAATCGAAATGAAAAACCTATGTAAACACATCGGTGTTGCATTAGCATAAGCTAGCCTTCCTTTGTAACAACCACGCTTGCAAAAATAAAAATTTAGTTCAGTTCAGTTCAGTCTGAATATATATGAGGCGCGTCTATAGGCAAATAGAACCATCTTTGTTTGTCAAATAGTATAAAATGAGCTTGTCTACCATGAAAGATACTTGTCTTGTATTTCAAGGATGCAAGCCAATATAGTGCTGCCTGGGCCTATACTATTTCATTAATTCATCATAATGAGTATGTTTGAGTTCAACGTTTATTTATAGTTTTTCACCACTTTTTTTATGAAATACTTAGGTTTATTGTAGGTATGAAAAGAGAGAACTCATTAGTCTGGTAGGTAACAACACTAAGCGTGACTTTTCAGAACCGGCACAATTAAAAGTTTTGATTCGAATATTTATCACTGTTCCAGGGAGTCACAGAAGAAAAGTAATGTCCCTTTCCTCTTCCTCATTCTTTTCTATACCGGAAAGATTATTTCTTCTTACCGGAATTTTTCTTTTATTCTTTTTCTTTCTTCTTTTTTTAAATTATTGTGTATTAAATAATATTTTCTTTTATAGTTGACTACACTAGTCGACTAACAGCTCGGTTTGAAAAGCTGAATCAGCTATGCAGTTTTATCAGGGCTGAATCAAAACTTCATTAAAGTGTATCCTCTAATTCCGAGATGAAAATTCTAAGCAGCTCATTCAGCTCTGAATCTGGTGATGGAATCAGGGCTGAATTTACTGAAAAGGACAATTTCCGGAATTTTATCAGATTTTTCGGCTATGGATTAGTTATTAGAAGAAAAAGCTTCACGTAAATAGCAAAGATTTCTAAACTGTGGGAAAATTTTTGAAAGAGTGCAATTTTAAATCTTTAAGAACTTTTGTTATGGGTAGGAAGATATTATAATTACTATTAGGCACATTTCCTAAGTCCTCGTCATCATGCAGTTACTTGAGTCAACCCTGAAAGCATTGATAAGGATATTCAGTTATAAATCTGTAAGAAGCAAAGCAGAAGAAAAAACTTTTATTGTGGAATGTAATTTTCAGGTTTTTCGGAGCTGATTCCGACTCAGATTCAGCCCTGATAAAACGGCATAGCTGATTCAGTTTTTCAGATCGAGCTGATAGTCGTCTAGTGATAGATCTTCAGAAAAGAAAGCTTTCCTTCTCTTGTATATCATTGAGACAAATGTACTTTTTGAGACGTTTATATTACAAACTCAGATATCTGGTAGCAGAGCGGATTATAACAACAAGTTCTATATTATAGTTTTACAGGTAAGCAAACTAATTTCAATGTAAACTATAATCGCTCCGAACTGAATCTGTGTCACTTGGAAACGAGCACTACGTTGTAAGAAAATATAAACTGTTTATCGTCATGACATTTGACAGTTAAATGTTGTTTTTTACAGTAACCTTGAAAAACTGTGAGCTTTGACTTGATAATTTCTATTTATATTTACAGAAATCATTGGTTTACTCTCAAAGAAGTTACGTTGACAAACTTCATTAATTTGAACTTTTCACGGATGATCTAATCCGGCTGAGCCTGTCTATTAATCGTTAATTACAGACCTTCTGATGATTATATCAACTATATCCGGTATTTAGTATTACAAAAGTAGTGAAAACTAGTTTCACAACACATATTTGTAGTCGTTCGTAGGAGAAATCCTGTTTTCTGTGTTATTCACATATAAGAACAGATAAAAAGTGTATGAGCCACACAACAAGTAGTTGAACTTTAACTCTCATTCTGTTGGGCAATAAAGAGAACAAAGAGAATGAAACATAATTCAATTCACCGTCGATGAAAGATTTCTCGAATTAGTATCATAATAAAAGCAGAAAACCCGTCTCTTCAAGATACTTTTAAAGTTTTTCAATAATTCTCAAACACAAATGCAAACATTCAAAACTGCAAGTAATCATGATGAAGTGCTTGTGTCAATTGACGTTGAATCCGTCGCGATCGGTTTTACCCACGCAACTGACGATCGATATCCTGTTACTGTTAGCGTAGTTAATGATGAATGTCAAGTAGTGTACGAAGGGATGATCAAACCAAATGTAACGGTGGTCAGCTATTTGACATTATTGACAGGATTGAAACAAGGTGATTTAGATCGTGGTGAAGCATTGGAGGAGGTGCTACAAAAAGTAAGTGCATCTATTTCATCATTTATTTCTTTTAATTGCAACCTTTTAGGCCGTTAGGTTCATGCATTACTGTCACCAAATGTAGTTTTGGTCGGACAAAGTCCTAAAAGTGATGTGAAATGGTTGCAACTAAAACAAGGTGTTCATTATAAAAGAGTGATTGATCTATCAGAGATGTTCAAAATATATAATCCAAAATATCGAACCACAAAGTAACAGCATACTGACACTATCGAATAACTCATATTCAGCGTTTTTCTGTCTTTTTCATAGTTATTTTTCATTAGCACATGAGGCAGATGTGTTGTTAGGCATAGATTTGAATTCATCAACTGGACATAATGCTACTCAAGATGCGAAAACATCAATGCAACTCTATCAGAAATATAAAGTATTAGATAGCTAGAGATTTCATTTTCCTACTTTTATGCGTTTCACTTATCATTTATTTAGAATAACGAAAATGATCTTAAACTAGCTCGTCTTCATCTACTAGCAAATCGTCCTCGACCGACTCCTGCTAAAGTGTACAACTACCGGTATGAAAATGTATGCCTCGCAGGATTTTATCCGAATAAATGTTTTTGTGGTAAACCGCCAGCCAAAAACTAGTGAAACTTCGTTAAATATTGCTTTTTGAAAGTATTTTTGATTTTATGTTACTCTAGCCATCTTTGATCTGTATAATATTTCTTTTTATATAAATAAAATGTTTGTTAAACACTACATGTGATTCTGAGAATTAGGATTTCCATCAAACAGATCTGTAGTCAACTGAGAAGAGTAGCGATCGGTTATAGAACAACAATATGACACAGCAAAAGCATACGACTGAATTACACTGGCTCAGTGCACATTCAGGCGGACATTAGGCAGAATCGGATAGTGGCAGATTCAAACAGCTATATACTTTGATATGTCACATATCAAAGTATATAGCTGTTTGAATCGATGAATAGAGAGCCCACGGGGTGGGCTACCTATTGTCATAAACCTTTTTATTTTCAGCAACTAGCCATTTTCAAGCATTGTTGGGAAACATGTGGCTGAAAGTTAGTCTGAAAATAAGATTCGAAAAGTATTTTGTATATATTCTCTCAAGCCAAAAGCACTTAAAAGAAAAATGCGATCATATTTGGTATCAACGCGTCGAGTTGCATCGAACGATATATAACACAATAAGTTTTGGATCGAAAAACTATCTATTCAAATTTTTCCTTTAAAATCCATTTTTGCGAGTCCATTTTTGATACCGATTACACCCCTGCATTGAATCCTAACTAGTGAAAAAATGTAGAATGGCTTGTAGAAGAAGCAACACTTCCAAGAGTAGTTGAACATCTGGCTTAAAACTCGTTTTTGAACTCTGACACTCCTACTAATTGGGTCTATTCATACATATTCACTATTATACACATGAATGTCAAGCGAAGAATCAGGTCAGTTTGATATTTACTAAATATTGCAGAATGTTGAAGAATATTCTCAAACAAAGATGTTTTCAGTGAGTACAGACAAAACGAGAAATATTTCAAGTTACATATCTTATCTACCTTCATTGTAACAAGAGTGAATGCGTAAAACGAGAGAAACAAAAACAACATAACAAACAAATAAAGAGATTTAACGAAAAGAGCAGTAAGTACAATAATTCATATTTTCGGTACTCAATAAACTTGATTAGCTTCGCCAGACAAAAATTCTAATTGCTATCGTGTTAGAAGAGCAATCCTCACTTGTAAGGATTGCACAAGTCACCTCTTCTAGTATCTCTCTCTATTTCTGCTAATAACAATCAGAAACGCGTCTTATAACAGTTTTTGATTGTTACTCTACCGGACACATGTTTTATCACGTGTGACGTTTAGCATACTGTCTAATCGATTCAAACAAAGCATCTGCATTGTTGTTTAATCTTTAGGATCGATCATGACTTCACGATCCTCTACTCGCTTGTTAAAAAGGTTTCTCTCTCCACCATCCTGCATCTATTTGCCCACGAGTATTAGCTTCGATTCCGCGTCAATTGCTCCCACTCGACGATCATTATATGAGGCATGTCATGAACTATGTAAAATGTCGCAACTGAATCCAGAGAGAGAGTTAAAGAAAATAATAAAATTTAAACCGACTGATTTCTATCCTAATCACAATGATGCTGAATTGCTCAAACATTTTAAAAACAACAGACAATTAAACAACTATGAAATGGCATCGGTACACTTATACACTAAAACAGATCATTTACATATAGTGTCATTAGTTTTACTAACTCCTCCCTACAATAGAAGACTACCAACTTGGTTAACTGATATAACTTATTCCGTTTGTAAACTCGTTCACGGAAACCTGTTTAAGCTCGATTTCGGAAAAGAAATTCAATGTAACTTTTTTTCTCACAACGTATGATTACTTTTGGGCACAGCGGTGGACACAACCATGGTAGTCTTCTATTTCAGTGTTGTTTTAAGAGTACAGAAGGTAAGACAGATCTCAAGAACCTATGTTAAGACGGACGATTTATTAATCTAATTTGTATCCTAGTTCGAAGGTTGGTCCTATTACTTAGAACCATGACACTACGTTAGCATTGTCTGTTTTATAACAGACCTGTGTTGTCATTGTTCAATTTAAGTAATAAAATTTAAGAAATAAATTCGTCCTGTTCCTTTTTCTGTTATCTCAGTGTATTTTACTAGTCCGAGTAATAACTTTGTTCCAGAGCTGAAATCGGTGTGAAGAGTTGTACCGGTGCCAGTCAGTCGATAAACCGATTGGTATAAGATTTTGGGAAACTGATGGGAAATGAGAAATCGGCGGAAAAAATCAAAAAGCGAAGAAAAATCAGTGGAAACTTAAAGCACTATAGAACAGCAGCCGCTCTCTGCGTGAAAAAGCGTTGATTCTGCCCGGCGCGTATGTTTTACAACGAAGAGATTTTAGTTTTTTTCAATTATTCCTGCTTTTAGTGCATCGGAATTTAATCATTATATTACGTTACAAGTCTACAACTAAAAGCATGATAACTTGAAATCGAAATGTTTTTCGGTTGTAGATAAATAAAAGAAAGAACATCTTATATTTACTTTCCAAAAAATGTAAGTCAAAAATACATAAAAAGATAATTTTTCATATGAGTGGATATCCGCTAGTAGAATGAGCCTATCAGTGTGGTTGCAACTCTGGATTCTTCTTCCTCCAGTCATTTTCTTTTTTCGCAAAGAACGCGACTTTTGCTATGGAAAGCAATAAAATCTCCAACAACTCTAAGATATAGAATTAATAAAGTGAAGCCGAAGAAATAATTGATTCACTCTTTCGAGAGACCTTGACGAAACCGACCTAATGAGCAGAGCCCTGCAAAATTGTTTGAAACCCGTACCCTTACCCACGCGTACAGTTACGGGGTAACCGACTATTCCGTAAAATTTTCTCTGAGAACTAGAATTCCTATGTTAAATGAAATAACCCATTTTTGTTCCAATTTTATCGAGAACAACTAACACTTCACTCAAATTCATAGTACGTCGGAATTCCAAGGTAAATATTATTTTCTTTAGACTAAACCATTTGGAGTTCATTAAATATTTTAAAGATTTACAGGAAACGATGTTGTTTTCGGAAACGTTTTCCAGAAATCTTCTGAAGTAAGAAAATATATTCTAATAATCTTGAGTACACAATTAGATTGAACATATAGAATAGAATATTTAGTGTAATCCAAGTAGATTGTTAATTTTCGATGAAAATAAATGACAAATGCGTTCGCTCACATAATCGACATCACAGCAGCTAATTTTTTGATTCCATATTTTTAATATCTATTGATTGTTCATATTTGCAGATGTTAAGAAAAGTGAACTTTGCAACGGTAACAAAACAAGTGGTTGCTACTGCACGTACTGGTTATAGCAATTTTAACATAACTTAATCTTGAACTGATTATATAGCACATAAGTACTTGAAAAGCTGAACCAAATTCACACTATGTCGTGCAAATATCTTTTGTGTGAAACTACTTTTCGAACTTACTTTCACACTGTCAAAGAGATCCAAATTTGCATTAAGAAAAATTCGTGGAATAGTCATGTCACGACGATTAGGGGGTCTCAAATGAAAAATTTAAAAAAAGTGAGTACCGGTCTGAATTTGAAAATTTTTTTACTGATCAAGCTCTGTATTAGGGATGTTCGGTTCCCGGTTCCGGAACCGAGAACCGCGGTTCTGGAACCGAAACCACGGTTCCGGTTCTCGAGTTAGAACCGAAGCGAAAAGAACCGCGATTCCGGTTCTCGACTTAGAACCGAACCGCGGTTCTCGGTTCTCAGCTAAGAACCGGAGAAGAATTTTTCAAGCAGTAATAATTCTGCCAAATGAAATTCATTTTATAGTAAACGCAAGGATGCTTTTAAATGATGACAG